ATCTGAAAAATCAAAATAGGCGGAGCCTAGTCGTGTTTGGGCTCATTTTGAAGCTCGTCTTAAGCTGAGTGTGAATTCAGTGTTATTTTTCAAAAATTTTCATGTCTTGAGGCGTAAATGAAGTTTTTGAAATTGAAAAAAAAACGAATTTCAAAAGTTTGCATTGAACCAAAAAAGGATTATGGACCAGATTTGTCTGATCCTAGGCCATTATGAATTTTTATTCTTCCAGAGCCTTCTGGATTCTCGTCGTCCTTGTCTCCATTGCACTTTTCGTCTGGCAATTCATCACACTGCTCACCAACTTCCTGTCCTTCAGTGTCAATACAGAAACTACCGTTAGTTTGGCCTAGAATCCTAGGCCACGGTCTTGGATCCATGGGTTTCTAGGCCACGGTCACGCAGTCTTTGAAACCAACTAGGTTTCTTGTCTTTTTTAGCTTTCCAGGTGGCCTAGAATTCCAAAACTTGGTTTTCTAGGCCACCACTTTCAATTTACAGCTACAATTCGCTGAGCGAACGTTCCCAACTGTCACAATTTGCCATTTGAACCCATGGAAGCTCTCTGAAACCCAATCTGTGGACCCGGATATGGATGCATTGGTAGGACAGGTGGCCTAGAAAACCCCTAGGCCACCCAAAAAAGCAAAAAGCTTTGCTTTTCCAGATCAACGCCTACAACTCATACTCCACATCGGCGCAATTCGGTCTTCCGGCATCATTAACGGCCGATAGACAGCAACAAGCTAACAAATGGACCTTGATGTACTCGGAAAGGCTTAAGGATAAACAGTATGAGGTAGGTGGTGGCCTAGGAAACTCAAGGCCACGCCCACAGTGTTTCAGGACGCCTCAAACATTGCCTACTCGTATGACGATATGGTTGTTAGTTGCACCTACAACGCCAAGACTTGCAATATAAGGTAATTGGAGATCCTAGGCCACATGACCCAAAGAACTTTTCCAGCGACTTCAACGACTTTTACAATCCATCCTATGGTAACTGTATACAGTTCAACACCGCCGGCATTCATTCTTCGTCTCGTGCCGGTCCGTTGTATGGTCTTCGTATGGTCATGCGGACCGATCAAGCCACGTATTTGCCATGGACCGAAACGTCGGGAGTTATCATTGATATTCATATGCAGGATGAGATACCGTATCCAGGTAGTATATTGTCTAGGCCACCAGGACCTGGGAAATCAAAGGGATACCGTGAAGCCTGTGATAGGATCTCTATAACTTTAAGCTCAATTATCTCAATTTCTTCAAAAGATATCAAAAAGTGGTAAACTAATAAAATATTGATGATATTATGATAAACATTTTGTTAGTTGACCACTTTCTAATATCTTTCACAGAAACTGAGATAATTTACCTTAAAGTTGACGATTTGAAGAAATTCGATGTGTATTCTATTTCTTTTTCCCCCAAAATTTCAAAAAATTCCAGACGTCTTCGGCTACTTTGCGCCTCCTGGCACTGCGTCATCCCTCGGAGTCTCCTATGTCCAAACGACTCGTCTTGCAAAACCCTACGGTACATGTACAACCAAAACCAAACTGGAAACCACTCATTACACGGGAACGTACACGGTCGAAGCGTGCTTCAGAAGTTGCATGCAGGAAAAGATCATTGCCACGTGTGGATGTTACTATCCGGCGTACTCACATGCACCGAATACTACGCAATTCGTTTCGTGTGATAATGGAGTGCAGACATTGACTAATTGTGAGTTTTTTTTGGAATTTTTGAGAACTTCCAAAGAATTTATCCGGTGTTTTATCTACTTCAGTGGATTCTGCTTGTTGAGAGCTTCAAAATGACCCCAAACACGACTAGGCTCCGCCCATTTTGAAATCTCACACTAGACACGCGACGCACGACCGCGACGCGCCCGAAAAATCAAAATGAACGGAACCTAGTCGTGTTTAGGCTCATTTTGAAGCTCATTTTAAACTGAGCGTGAATCCAGTGTTGGTTGTTCAGAATTTCCATGTTTTGGGGTGTAAATCAGCCTTTTGAAATTAAAAACCAAACCGCATTTTGAAAATTGGTCTATTTTAACTCATTTTCGCCGAATTTTCTGGAATGTTTTTCTCATTTTTACTAGGCCATATTTTTAGAATCACAGGCCACCAAAAAGTTAGTTTTTCAGTAAACTGTGTCGACCAAATCAATAGTGCCGATTCGACGGAATTCGATGTGTTGACCGATTGTGATTGTCCTCAGCCATGCGAGTCAGTTTTTTTTTTGACTAAATAAATTCAAAAATAAATTGGATTAAATTTTCAGAGTCGATTCCTACGGTGTCACTGTGTCCACCGCTCAATGGCCATCAGATTCTTATACGGTAGATCAGCTTGCAATCGTTTAACTCGGTAATTTTTTTCTCCAGCCAACCGAATGCAATCCGGGCGGCCCATCTGGTCCATGGGACGCTTCTGGCGAATCCTGTTTGGATTGGTACAAGGCGAACACAATTCTGATTGAAATCTATTACGAAAGAATGAATTTTCAAGTGCTCACTGAGTCGCCAGCGTATACGGTAGGTATGGTTGCCGAGAAGGACTAGAAAACCAAACCATTACTCAGAACTGTGGCCTAGAACTATGGCTTAGCCTACAGTAAGCCTATGGCTAGGGTATGGTAAGCCTATGGTATGCCTATGGTAAACCTATAGTAAGCCAATGGTAAGCCAATGGTAAGCCAATGGTAAACCTATGGTAAGCCTATGGTAACCCTATGGTAAGCCAATGGTAAGCCTATGGTAGGCCTATGGAAACCTATGGAACACCTATGGTAAACCTATGGCAAGCCTATGGGAAGCCTATGGTAAGCCAATGGTAAGCCAATGGTAAGCCAATGGTAAACCTATGGTAAGCCTATGGTAACCCTATGGTAAGCCAATGGTAAGCCTATGGTAGGCCTATGGAAACCTATGGAACACCTATGGTAAACCTATGGCAAGCCTATGGGAAGCCTATGGTAAGCCAATGGTAAGCCAATGGTAAGCCAATGGTAAACCTATGGTAAGCCTATGGTAACCCTATGGTAAGCCAATGGTAAGCCTATGGTAGGCCTATGGAAACCTATGGAACACCTATGGTAAACCTATGGCAAGCCTATGGGAAGCCTATGGTAAGCCAATGGTAAGCCAATGGTAAGCCAATGGTAAACCTATGGTAAGCCTATGGTAACCCTATGGTAAGCCAATGGTAAGCCTATGGTAGGCCTATGGAAACCTATGGAACACCTATGGTAAGCCTATGGTATGCCTATGGTAAACCTATAGTAAGCCAATGGTAAGCCAATGGTAAGCCAATGGTAAACCTATGGTAAGCCTATGGTAACCCTATGGTAAGCCAATGGTAAGCCTATGGTAGGCCTATGGAAACCTATGGAACACCTATGGTAAACCTATGGCAAGCCTATGGGAAGCCTATGGTAAGCCAATGGTAAGCCAATGGTAAGCCAATGGTAAACCTATGGTAAGCCTATGGTAACCCTATGGTAAGCCAATGGTAAGCCTATGGTAGGCCTATGGAAACCTATGGAACACCTATGGTAAACCTATGGCAAGCCTATGGGAAGCCTATGGTAATCTTATGGTATGCCTATGGTAAGCCTATGGCTAGTCTATGGTTAACCTATGGTAAGCCTATGGTAAGCCTAAGGTAAATCTATGATAAGCTAATGGTAAGCCTATGGTAAGCTTATCTCCCAGAATTTGTCGTACCCTAGACCACCTAGAAAATTGCAGTTCGTCAACTTCATCTCGGACGTTGGTGGTCAAGTCGGACTGTTCCTTGGAATGAGTATTATTTCTGTTATCGAATACGTTGTACTCATTTTACTTGTATTCTTCTACTGCTGTACGCATAAATCCAGAAAAGCGGAAATCGAACAACTCGAGATGGATATTAAGAAGGCTAGGGTGAGTTTGAGTGATTATATCTCAAGAACCAAGCTAGCTAGAAAAAAGTTGTCAATTATTAAAATGTAGGTAATTTCATAAGCTTCAATTTTGTAGTTAAGCAATTTTTTGTAAAGGTTTTCGTTTTCGAGATATTACCGTTTAAAGTAAGGCGACCCATGAAATGCGCCCGTGCGTTTGAAGCGTCCACGCCCCTTGATTTATGTGTGGCAACTTTAAAGGCGCACATCTCAAAAACCAAATTAGCTCAAAGAAAGTTGTAAGTTAATAAAATGTGTAAAATTTTAAAAGATTCAATTTTGAAGTCGACAAATTTTTTGTAGTGTTTGTAGTTTTTGAGATATGAGCATTTGAAGTAAAGCAACATTTGAACATTTTTCAAATGCCTCTTCTTCAGGACGATGTCGACCAAGTAGCCGAAAAACGCAAAAAGCACCAGAAAGCAAATGCAGAATTGTATGAAATGGATGTTGGACACGATGTGGTCCCACCGAAGCCTGTGTCCCATGATTGATTAAAAATTTTGAGAACTTTGTGAATAAACAAGTTTTGTTGATTGAGTTTCGTGTTTTTCAACCCTATCAGTAAATAAAACGTTTTAACTCGGTTTTCGTTCAAGATATCAAAAAGTGATCAACTAATAAAATATTTCTGAAATTATTTAAAACATTTTGTTAGTTGACTACTTTTTGATATCTCTTAGACTGAATGAGATATATAGGCTCAAAGATGACGATTTGAGAGTCATTCTATTATTGTTTACGGTGTTTCGGCAGAGCGCATTTGCAACCTAGTGATTTGGCAAACAGCTAAACAATTATATAAAATTTATTCTGTACAAAAAAATTGTTAAGGAAAAATAAGAATAAATAGCTTGGATGAGATTCAGAACATTGGGGAATTGAGAAATATATAACTGATAAGGAACACAAGGTATGCTTTAAAAAGAAGATCCTGCAATCGAAAAGTCCCTTAACTTTGACCTAATTTATCTAGCTTTGTATAAGAGATATCGAAAAGCTATCAAATAACAAAAATTTGCTGATATTTTGATAAGTATTTCATCAGTTGACCACTTTTTGATATATCCTACAGTAACCTAGATAAAATGGGTTAAAATTGATAAGGCCCTACTATTACAGGTTTTACAATAGTTTAATGATAGTTTGCGGTAGATGTACTTGTATAGATCTTTCATTGACGTTGGCAAACTCTCATATCCAAGTACCAAACTGTTCCGTGCACTTTGACTTCCAAATAGGAAATCTTCAGAATAGATGTGGATCCCATTGCAAGTTCAACACATATCAAAATTCGATTTTATTAAAAATTTAAATCTCTGAAGGACTTAAACCACCTCTCCGACTTCTTTAGAACCTCTGACCGAGAACTAATCATCACCAATTGCTCCCTTGGTCTTTCCTCCATCCATTGATCTACGCAAGCACTCAAGTCTGCAGCTGGTACCTCTCCTATCACATAAACTTTCAGATGACGCATTTGGAGCAGGAGTTCTCGACTGATGGCTTCACCAAATCTCATCTCCTTGGCATTAGCTACATGGTTTAGGTCTTCGGCCAGGATTCCACTAGAAAACCGGACATTGTTCATTGGAAAACTAGATGGATCTACAATCAAGGGCAACGCATCCATCAAGAATTTGCCGTGAATTGAGATCTGATGAGCTTTCGGCTTCATCCCGTCGAATGGCCATCTCATGATTCTTTCTAGAGGACAAAACGTGTAAACCGTCCATGCCGCTTGCCGATTCCCAAAGAACATATTGGATAGCATTTTGATCACTTCTTCGTGGTGAATGGAACATCATATATCCATGGAGGAGAGTTGTAAACGTAGAGTTGTAAACGTAGCTTTCGTACATCCTTCATTGTTCTTTGCTGCATGGCTCTGGGTTCATTCCAATGCACCAATCGCACATCCCCAGGAAACACTACTGAATAAGGATTGACTATGTATCCGTGCTCATCGATCGATTCTTCGATTTCTGTCCTAGCTCCAGAAGGCAATGCTTCGAATAGTTTTGCCCTGTAAATCATTCGATTTACGAAAATCGAGTTTGTGTTGAATTCGAGTCGTTTGATGCACAAAGGAGTTGCTTTTTCTGCTGGACGAATTGATGGGAGGCGACGGGCCATGTCGATTCTGCAAAATTTGAGAATTCAGCGGGATTTAATAAAAGTAGAGATCTTGTTAAGATTGTGCTAATTCCACCGATTCTTGGTTAAGAGCATTCTGATAGAAGTCCACCCAAAACGTGCTCGTTGAGCCGATTTATCTCAGTTAATATAAAAGATATCAAAAAGTTGTCAACTGATAAAAAATCAGTGATATTATGATAAAAATTTTTTCAATGACAAACTTTTTGAAATCTTTTAAAGGAACCGAGATAATTGAGCTCAAAGAGCCTCGCTTGAAAATGCCACTAGAAGTTTCGGACTCAGTTGGTTTCAAGCGTTATATCTCATTTGGTCAAAATTTTACAAAAAAAAGCTGTCAACTACAAATTTGAAGCTCTATATCTGTTTAGTAGAATTGGAAAATTTCATCTTTTGAATTTTAGTAAAATATAATTTTAGTAAAATTTGAAACTTTCAAAATTTCCGAGGTAGTTCTCATGGTACCACAACTTGACGAATTTGGGTCTAAGCTTAAAAATTCTACATTTTCGATATCAGCATGTCTAGAGCTTCAAAATGAGGATAGTCATGACGTGTATTTTAAAATCTTGATTTTCGGGTTTAAAGGCGCATGAAGGGGACGAAATTTCGGAATTCTGAAAACCAGGTCATTTGGAAGCGTTTAACAAACTAAATAAGGATATCACGTTTTGATAAGAAGTGAACTGAAATTGAAAAAGTTAGGAGCTACCGTAACTTTGGTCCGAGATCAAAAACTTTACTTTAGACCTCCAAACTTTAAGTTTTCTGGTAGATAAAATTCAGTCTTTAGGTTTTTGACCCGCCAGATATCCGTTTTTGGGCAAATATTGTCAGTTGGCCACTTTTTAAAAGATTTAAAAAAAAACTGAGGTAACTCGGCTTGAAGTAGACGCTTCCCTTTACCTTTATTTTATTTTTTGTTATTTATTTTTCAGTTATTGTCACAAAATGAACAATCTCCTCGCATTTTATACATCTCTTTTTCAAATATTTGCATCCATATGCTTGAGCACTGTTTTCATACTGTCATAGCTGAGACCGTTGAGATCCATGGTGTTGATTGAAAATCACATAATTTAGATAAGGAATAAAATAGATAAGAGATGTATAAAATACGAGGAGATTATTCATTCTGTGACAATAACTGAAAAATAAATAACAAAAAATAAAATAAAGGTAAAGGGAAGCATCTACTTCAAGCCGAGTTACCTCAGTTTTTTAAAAAATCTTTCAAAAAGTGGCCAACTGACAATATTTGCCCAAAAACGGATATCTGGCGGGTCAAAAATCTAAAGACTAAATTTGATCTACCAGAAAACTTAAAGTTTGGAGGCCTAAAGAACAATCCGAAAACATCATAATAACAATTTATTGGAATAATGGAGGTTTTATAATAATACAAAATAAATGGAGTGTGAAAAAAGTGTAAATGAGACTTCGATTTTCTTATCCATATCGGCTGACCACTTTCATATCGATATGATTGATTGAATGCACTCTACCGAATTCCAAATACATGTCTCGATGGTTGGTAACCACCAACACTGCACCATTTTTCATTAACAGTTTGATGCATCTGAAAAACGAAAAAGTGTGCAATTTTTAAAAAATTTTTATATCGAGTTGAGTAGAAACCGAACAAATTTAAAAATGTTAAATGTTTATGTTATCAGAAACATTCCACCAGTTGACAAGTTTTTGATATCTCAAACAGGAAACGAGATAATTAGGTTTAAAGAAACGATCTAATTAAGATATTCCACAGATTTTGAAAGTGAAAGTTCAAATTTTTTTAAACGTGAGGAAGAAATTATTAAAAGAAATTTGAAATTCTAGTTTTTTTTTAAATTTTTAATTTTAAAATTCTGGGTCCCTGGGTCCCTGGGTCCCTGGGTCCCTGGGTCCCTGGGTCCCTGGGTCCCTGTGTCCGAGTGACCTGGGTTCTAGATCCGGTGACCTGGGCCCGGGTGACCTGGGTTCTAGTAAGGGGACTTTTCTATTACAGGTTTTACGGTATATTTCCCCTCCCTCATGGTCATTACTCACTCTTTAGACTTCTCCAGAACTTGCGCTCTACTCCCATGCGAAAGAAGCGTCGATCGAACCTCTGACTCCATATCCTTATATCGAAATGAAAAATGTGTTCCAATCGCGCAACCTCGCTCCATCCATGTTGCGAACAGATTGTTGTAAGCGTCACAGGGAAATGGATCATGAAACACAACTCTTGGATTTTGAAGCGAAAGAAGTGCCTCCTGTGAGAATACGAAATCATACGAAGGATGAAGAATCAGCATTTTGGCATCGTTGGCAATTTTATGATTCACACTTGGAGTGTCGTCTTCATTCATGCGGACAATGAGACTGTTAAGAGGAAAACTGGTGGCTTCGACGAGAACCGATTTGAGAGCATTCATCTTGAAATTGGTGTACCCAGAGATTTCTAGATTTTTGACTGTTGGCTTCAAACCAATCATTGGCCACCGCAATATATTTGGGGCAAGACTCAAATGATTGATTTCCCATTCAACTTGACGATTTCCAAAGAATACATTGATTAGCTTCTTCATCATCTCGTAGATTTTGATCGTATACGGGAATAGAGACGATTCCCCATTCACGTCCAACTCTATGAAGCATCTGGCTAGGGACGGTGTACGATTTCTGCGACACACAAAAGCTAGAAGCTCGGTTTTCATAAAAGCAATCTTCTCCTGGTCACCCTCTTGCTCCAGCTGCATCAAACAGCGTTTTGCTTTCCGCTCCTCTGCATCGTAATCAATTGGGTCGGATTCTCCCTGCTCGTTCAGACGAATGTCTCCAGGAAGAACGACGGCATCAGTGTTAAGTGGAAAACCGTATTCATCGAAATCAATCTTCCCCTCTTTCATCATCCCAAAGAATTCTTGGATTACTGATAGGGTGTATTTCGTATCATTCACAGTGATAGCATTTTCTTCCAGTTCTAAGCGGTTGATGTGTAGAGGTGCTGCTTTTTCAGCTCCACGTATTGAAGGTATTTGAAGGGCGAGATTGAAGCTGGGAAAGTTTAATTTAGTTGTTTAGAATGAAAGTAATTCTCACCGAAAATTGGGTTCCATATAAGTCAACACCGTTTTTGTGTCACAGAATAACAGAGGTTTAGATTCCATTTTCGAGCTGAAAATAACGGGTTCAGATTGCCTAAAAAGATCGGTTTGACCAGATTAAGCGGATATAATGCTTAATAATCTATAGAAAAATTGAACGGATCAAAGATTGAAAACTTTACTTTTATGTATTATACGCAAGCTTTTCGATGGGTGGACCCTCATACTTTGACCCAATTTATCTCGGTTACTGTAAAAGATAGCAAAAAGTGGTCAACTAACAAAATATAAAACATGAAATTTTGAATATTTTGTTAATTGACAACTTTTCTCTATCTCTCAAAGGAAGCGAGAAAAATTGATTGAACATCGACAATTTGGGAGCCTTAATCGTAACGCGAAATATTGAGGGCCCCTATGACATGTACTTTGACCCAATTTCTCTCACTTACTGTAAAGGATAGCAAAAAGTAGTCAACTAACAAAATATTGAACATAAAACTATAAATATTTTATCAGTTGACTACTTTTTGATATCTCTTATAGGAACCAAGATAAATTAGGTTGGAGTCGACAGGCTGGTTAGACCTTCTACTACAGGGTTGAACACGGGCATTTAGGATATCAAAATAATCAATTTTCCTCATTCGAAAAAGAAAGATGAATACTGGAAATATAACAAAGTTTTGAAGATTATTACTATCTAGATTTATATCATGTAAGGACTAAGACAATAGGTTGATCCAGGGCATTTACCATAAAAACTATATTATAGCGTCATGACGTTGTATTTTTCAGAAGAATAGTAGTTCGAAAGGTACAAGAACTTTGTGGGTATAAAGTGATTTAAGGATAAACAAAATCCTCAATTTGAAGATAAAAAATATAAAGTTTGAATTCTGTACCCTTAAACAACTGTGTACCCCCTTGTAACACCGAATCGTTGTAGCCTCCAAATCATGTGCTTTTTCAGAAGGGTGTTTTGGGGTGAAATGGAGCACATTGCTCGTTTCCCCTGACGAGGACTTATTGCTCATTCTCCGTCTCTTCTTGACAGCTTATTCCTCTGCCCTTTACGCCTTCTTCGTGCTGACGTCTCTGCAGGCGTAACTTATTGAATTTTGCTTATTATCGCTGTCTGAATAAATGAATATTGAGACACAGAGAACATATGTCTGCGTCTCCTGTGTTATTTTGTTTTACGCTTCGAGGTATCCGCTTCGAGATATCCATAATTTTCTAGACAAAAATATTACTAATCTCTCTAAACTCATACTACCGAAAACCTGCAATAGACGGGCCCCCCACATGATTTCCAGTAATGGATATCAAAAATCTGTCAACTAATGAAATATTTGTCATATTATGATTCAAAAAAAATTACCAGTTAATACATTATTGATATCTATCTAGGAGCCGATATAATTGAGTTCAAAGCTGACAAAGTGGGGGGGGGGGGGGGACTTTCTATTACAGGTTTTACAGCACCGTTGAGCTTGTATATCTCAATTCCTGTAAAAGATATCAAAAAATGGTCAACTGACAAAATGTATATCATAATATCAGAAAAATTTTACCAGTTGATAACTTTTTAATATCTTTTACAGGGTAGGAGATACACGGGCTTGACGGTTAGAGTGTATCTGTTACCGTGTTTACGGTAGATTGATATTATTTAAGGACAAAGAAAATTGATAAGAAAAGAAGAGGTGGTATTTGAACCTATTTCTTCTTTGGAACAGTTTCTACATTCAACCAAATTTTTGAATTCATCGTTGTGTATTGAACCACGACAATAGCCTCATTTCCCATTGCCAATTTCATAGAGCTGAAATACTAACTACACATTTTTGGCAGGCTGCTTACAATTTTCCTAGGAAATCGAGGTGGAGAATGGACAATTAAGAATATGAGTCTTCAAGACAATGTAGTGCGTTGGCCAGTGGATGGAAGGAGACCAATCGTTCGAAATGTCAACATCAATATTTTCTCTCTCATTGTTACAATGTAAATAGGCTCGGACGCTAACAGGGATACTGTAGTAAGATTATCTTTAGTCTCGACGCGACAGCTTTAAATTGAACTGCTGAGTATTACGGTTTTGGACCTGCATTCCATCAAAAAAATGCGCGAAAAAAATATTTCAAAAAACGTTCCGGAGAAAATACCGTGGAATATCCAAATATGAGTATAAAGAAAATCAAATAAAAACTCAAAGTCTCAATTCGAGGAATATTACTATTATTGAGGTTAATGTACTATTTAATGAAAAAATTGATGAGGAGAGAAGAGGTGGCAATTGAAATGATCAGTTCTTTGCAACAACTTCTATAATCAACTAAGTTTTTGAGCGTCTTTTTGAGTACCGAACAACTGCAACAGCTTCATTTCCCATGGCCAATCTGATAGCGCTGAAATGTTGCATATGTTTCTTTTTTGACGAATAAAAGTTAAACTTACTCTTTGTATTTTCTAATCTCTGCCGGGTGATTGTATTGATTGAGATTCATCTTCTTCCTAACAAGAATCGAATAACGAACTCCAATGGGGCGCGGTTTCTCCATCAATTTAGAAATTAGTCGGCCGAGAGTAAATTTATCAAGTGGTGCTGGAGTTGTAAGAGTCACATTGGGAGTTTGAATTGAAAACAAATCGGAGAAATCATAGGTAAATAGGTGGTTGGAAATCATGAGATGCTCGACATTTTTCAAAAGTGGATGATCTTCAATTGTAATTGAAGTGGCTCTCATTTTGAGGATGGGTATTGGGACACTAGTGTCGATGATTGGTTGAAGGCCATCAATTTTGTTATGACGATATGTACCAATATCGAAATTTCGAACAATTGGTTTCCGTGTATCCACTGGCCAACGCAGCACATTGTTTTGAGGACGAAAATCCTTGATTATCCATTCTCCACGTCGATTTCCAATGAACATTGTGAGAAGTCTCTTCATCAATTGGTAGATTTTCATACTTTTATACGGTAATTCGTACATTGAACCAGCGACATACAATCGGATATAATGATTGCAAGGAAGTGAACTCTTTATCTCCGGACAATCATGAGCTAACCACTTTCTTTGCCGATGCTCATTCCCATCGTAAAAAAATAGCACGTCTCCGGGTTGAATGCTTTCGTCAAGACTAATTTGGAACCCTTTTCCATCAAAATCGTAATCCACCTCATCACTGGACCATCCTCCCGTTTGGCATTCTCGATAAACTTTCATCTTGTATTCTGTGTCATTCACAATAAGACGATTATCGTGAAGCTCCAGACGGTTGATGACCAGAGGTGCTGCTTTTTCGGCTTTCCGTATTGAAGGAATCTTCAGAGCAAGATTAAACCTGTGAAATTGTACATTAGCTGATTTAGAATTAATTGATTCTCACCGAAAATTCGCTTCCATATAGGTCAAAACCGTTGTTGTATCACAGAATTGAATAGGTTTGGATTCCATTTTTGAGCCGGAAATAATGGGTTCTGGTTAAATTGAAACAATATTGGAAATACAGATAAATTTAAGCGGAATTAACGCTTCAAAATTACATAAGCAAAACTCAAGGATCTAATGTTGAAAAACAAATTTATTTTATATAAACATTTATTATTTAAAGAGCAGGAAAATTATTCTTCCCTTTGGAACAGTTTCTATAGTTAACCATATAACGCTGAAACATCACAAAGAAGAGTTGAAAACAAGTTAAAGGTAAAAACACAAATTTATTGTACATACGAGTTTGAATGGGTAAGAATCAGTTGGCTCCTATTAACATGCTCTTTTACCCAATTTATCTCGGGTACTGTAAAAGATAGCCAAAAGTTTTCAACTAACAAGATATGAACCATTAAATTTTAAATATTTTGTTAGTTGACAACTTTTCTATATCTCTTAAAGGAAGCGAGATAAGTTGGAGCAAAGGATTGGTTTTGGAGTATGTAAGGTTGGTTCTCAATGGTATTTAGGTTATTATACAAAATCAATGAAAAGATTATATAAGGTGAAATTTGGAACTATTTTGTCTTTGGAATAGTTTCTATAGTCAGGTAAGTTTTCCTATTAGCCTCTGTATATCGAAAAACGATCACAGCTTCATCTCCCATTTTCAATTTGATACAGCTGAAATTTTTTTAAACTTTCTTTTTCAGCAAACAAAAGTTAAACTCACTCTGTGGATCTTTGAAGCACTTCCGGGTGACTAATTCTAGCGAGGTCTTCCTTGGAATTTGTGGGAAGTGAGTAACATACTCCAATGGGGCGCCGTTTCTCTATCCATGTGTCAATAAGGTTTTCGACGACGAAATATGGAGAGCGAATTGTCAGAGACACTTTGTGGGTTTGAATTGAAAATAAATTAGAAAGATAGCGCCATGGAATGCTGGAAACAATCAAATGTTGGGAAGTTTTAAATAGTGGATGGTATGTTATTTTCGGATCAAGAATCAGGAAGCTCATTTTGAGGCTGGTTAATGAGACACTTACGCCGATAATTGAATGGACAGCATTCAATTTGACTTGAGAATATTCGTAAATTTTGACATTCCTAACAGTTGGTTTCCATCCATTCACTGGCCAGCGCAATACGTCTGTTCCAAGATTTATATTCTCAATGGTCCACTCTCCATTTCGATTTCCAAAGAGAACAGTAAGGAGCCTCCTCATCAATTGGTACATCTTCATATTCGTATACAGGAATTAATACTTAGATCCAGACACATATAACCGGATATAATGATTGCAGGGAAGTGCATTTTTCTCCTGGTACTCATATTCCAACTCGTCGACCTTCGACCCTCTACTCAAATGTAGTCTTATTGAATCAGTCAGTAGTTTGTGTCCAGGTTGACTGCTCTCATCAAGATTAATTTTGAATCCGTACTCGTCAAAATCGTAATCCACTTCTCCTCGGGGCAATCCGGGCACTTCTCTACCAGCTGGAAACGATTTGTTCTTGTTCTGCACTGCCCAATCATCTCCGAACTTTTTGGAAATACTCTCATACTGTATTCTGTTTCATTGACAACAAAACGAGTATCATGAAGATCAAGATATTTGATGTATAGAGGTGCTGCTTTTTCAGCTCTCCGTATGGATGGAATCTTCAGAGCGATATTGAATCTGTAAAATTAAAGATTATTTAATTTGAATTGGAATGATTCTCACCGAAAACTTGGTTCCATATAACCCAAAATTGTTTTTGTATCGCAGAATAACAACCGTTGCGATTCCATGTTTGAGCTGAAAATAATGGGTTCAGATTAAATTTAAAAATAGGGGTAATCAGATAAAATGAAGCGGATATAACGCTTGAACATAAAGTATGAATCAAGGATGAATAAAAAAAATCAGATAAAAACACATATTTATTGTATAGAAGAGGCTTGAATGGATGGTTACTGTAACAAAATATGGACCATTAAAATTCAAATATCTCGTTAGTTGACAACTTTTCTCTACCTCTTAAAGTACGAATCAGCCATAGTATGTACGGTTGGTCCTTAAGGATGGAATTTGTCTTAAAATTGAATACATTTTCAAATTAAAGTTAAATCAAAAACATTGGTTTTTTTGAATAATAAGTATCCTAACGGGCCAAGAAACCCGACGGAACCTCATGAAAAATATGAATTTCAAAAAGACATGAAAATAGAAAAATTCAGGGGGTAGCAAACATCGGCGGAAATTACAAGCAAATTTTAAAGATTCGAAGAATTAACTGCTAATGCTAAGGTCTCGCTACAGATGATAAGCAAACAACCAGCGAATTGTTGTGACTCATCGTTTGATTCACCAGTTCAAAATGTACTTTAACCAATCCCCATTTTGCTACCCCTTGAATAACCCTATAGAAAATGTTTTCAATAACAATTTTATCTCTAGAGATAAAAATTTAAAGCTATATCTTCCTTGAAACAACTTCCATATTTAACCAAGTTCTCCTATCATCCTTTGTATATTGAACAACAACAACAGCTTCACTTCCCATTGCCAATTTCATATAGCTGAAATGTTTTAAATTTCATTTTTAACAAGAAAAATTTCACTCACTCTGTGGATATTTCAAGCACCTCCGGGAGATCAAGTGTACTGAGATCTTTCTTGGCATAAGTGAAAAATGAATAACAAACTCCAATGGGGCGCGGTTTCTCCATCAATTTGAAAATTATTATTTCGTGATGATGCACTTGAATTCCAGTTGTAATCGACATTTTTTGAATTTGAAGCGGGAACAAATCAGGGAGACTACGATATGGTGGATAGCCGGAAATGATCAGATGTTCAGAATTTTTCAAAAGTGGATGGTCTGATAGGCTGGAAGTAAAGAATCCCATTTTGAGACTGGTTAATGGGACACTTGAATCGATAAGTGACTGAACCACATTCAATTTGGATGGAGAATATTGACCGATTTCAATATTTTGAACAATTGGTTTCCGTGTGTCCACTGGCCAACGCAACACTCTGTCTTCAAGAATCATCTGTTTAATTGTCCATTCTCCATTTCGATTTCCAAAGAAAATCGTGAGAAGCCTCTTCATCAATTGATAGATCTTCATATTTGCATACGGTAATTGGGTCATAGATCCAGAAACATACAATCGGATATAATGATTGCAAGAATCCGAGCATTCACATTTTAATTTGTTGAGCTTATGCCTTCTATTAGTCCTTAACTCAGCCAATAATATGTCTCCAGGAAGAATGTTTTCTTCATAGCCCATTTCGAATCCATCATCGTCCAAATCATAATCTACTTCTCCGTCACCTCCAAACGCTTTGGTCTTAGCCTGACATTCTCGGTATACTCTCGCATTGTATTCTGTTTCATTGACACCAAAACGATTTTCTTCAAGCTTCAAACGGTTGATGTGTAGAGGTGCTGCTTTTTCAGCTTTGCGTATTGATGGAATATAGAGAGCTAGATTGAATCTGTAAAATTCAATTGAATCGAGAATAAAGAAATGTAAGGTTACCTGCAGTTTGGCTCCATATAAGTCAGCACAGTTGTCACATTTTCGTATAGAAGTTGCTTGTTTTCCATTCTTAAAATCTGGTGATTTAAAGGGACATGGTGAAAGAGAGATAAAGTTCAGCGGTCATAACGCAGTACATGGAAAACATATCTAAAAAATGTAGTGTATAAGATAACTTTGTTTGTAAAAATCACGAGAATAGAGGAGCTATAGAGTAAGAGCGATTTTGAAAGTTTTGAAAGCACAGGGTGTAAAAATATAGAGATCATATTAAACATAGAGGAATCATAGATACAGAGGGAAAACATATTTTTTAAGGGAAGTTTACTTTGAATGCAGCACATTGTTTTGAAAACTCATATTGTTAACTGTCCATTTACCTTTTCGATTTCCAAAGAAAATTGTGAGAAGCCTCTTCATCAATTGGTACATCTTCATGCTCTTATACGGGAACTGACACATTGATGTGTATCGTACAATCGATTTCGTACAACATATCATCGGAATGTTTCGTACAACGTACAATCGGATAAAATGTTTACAGGGAAGTGAATACATTTTCTCCGGGGGCCAATCGTATTTCAACCACTATGCACGCCGTTCCGGGCACTCATAATTGGGCCATCTACTCGAAAGCAAACTCCCTCGGTCACCAAGTTTTATGTCTCCGGGTTCAATGGTTTCATCAACATCGATCTTGCTTCCGTACTTGCCAACATCGTCATCCACTTCTCCATTGTACAATCCGACATTAGCTTGGCATTTCCTCCATACTCTCATACTGTATTCTGTTCTATTTATGACAAGACGGTTGTCATAAAGCTCGAGGCGATCGATGTGAAGAGGTACTTATTTTTCGGCTTTCCGTATCCATGGAATCTTCAAAGCAAGATTGAATCTGTAAAATTGAATTGAATCGAGAATAAAGAAATGTAAGGTAACCTGCAGCTTGGCTCCATATAAGTCAACACAGTTTCCATATTTTCATAGAAGAATTGCTTGTGTTCCATTCTTCCAAATTGGTCTACTGTAAAACCTGTTTTAGAAGGGCAAATTGACTTAACGGTACAGAGTAAAAGGAGAGATAAAGTTCAGCGGTAATAACGCGATACATGGAAATTATGATAACCAGCTTTGACAATGTTTGACCTATTTTCGGCCCGCCCTTCCTCACCTGTGATTTGGTTCCATATGCATTAGCACAGATTTCAAACTTTCATACAATATAGTTTTTTTTGGTACTTGTTGTTCCATTATGAGGCAATTGGCTGATTTAACCTAAAATTGAAAAATCTTGAAACTCAGAAAAAAAATAAGACAGAACAAAAACAAAAACTGTGAAGCTAAAAGTAAATTCTAGCGATTGAAACGCTTGAAAAAGTAATAAGAAGAGGGAAAAATGTAACAAATTTGTTAATTTTATAGGAAAACAATTGGAATTTATTAGTTTAACAGGAATGAACAAAAAATAAAATAAATATATAAACAAAATAAGTTAACAGTTGAATTTTTGGGAAATTCTAAAATCAAACATCATAAAAATCAATCAACGTTCTCACGAGGGATCACAGATATCTCGGCCGTTCCGGGTCCCCAATTGCCGTCAGTTTTAGGTTTAAAGTAGACGTGAAGAGCGGACGTTTCGTTGATTTTCAAAGTGACGGATCTGGAAAATTTTGGGAATTAGAGGCAGTACTAATATGCTACGTTTAGCTTCTGCGCGATTTTTTCTCCTCCACAACTTTGACGCAGTTTAACTCAGTTACTGTAAGAGATATCAAAAAAGTGGCAACAGATAAAATGTAGGCAATGACATGACAAACATTTTATCAATTAACAGACTTTTGATATATCTCACAGGAATCGAGATAATAGAGCTCGAAGCAATTGTTCCAGCTGAGGAGGACCGCGTAGCTCATTTGGTAGCTAATCTTTGAGCTCAATTATCTTGTTTCCAATGAGAGATATGAAAAGCTTGCCCGCTGCTAAAATGTTTTTTATGATATTAACTACACTTTTGCAGTTTACCAATTTTTGATATCTCTCACAGAAAACAAGATAATAGAGCTCGAAGCGGTGCTTCCAGCTGAGGAGGATGTCGACCGCCCGCGTACATAGCTCAGCAGGTAGTAAATCTTTGAGCTCAATTATCTCGATTCTCAAGAGAGATATCGAAAAACTGTCAACTGATAAAATGTTTGTTATGATATTAACTACACTTTTGTAGTTCACAAATTTTTGATATCTCTTACAAAAAACAAGATAATAAAGCTCACAGCGGTGCTTCCAGCTGAGGAGAATGTCGTCTGCGTAGCTCAGCCGTTAGCCGTCCTTTGATCTCAATTATCTTGGTTCTTTTCAAAGATATAAAAAATCTGTTAACTGATAAAATGTTTGTCATGATATTAACTACATTTTTGTAGTTTACCAATTTTTGATATCTCTCACAAGAAACGAGATAATAGAGCTCGAAGCGGTGCTTCCATCTGAGGAGGATGTCGACCGCACGCCTACATAGCTCAGCAGGTAGTAAATCTTTGAGCTCAATTATCTTGATTCTCAAGAGAGATATCAAAAAATTGTAAACTGATAAAAATGTTTGTTATGATATAAACTACATTTTTGTAGTTCACCAATTTTTGATAACTTTCAAAGGAACCGAGATATATGAGCACAAAGAGCCGCTACTAGTGGGTTTTAAAATCTTGTTTTTATTCGAAATTTCAGGAAATTCAGCTTTTTGGTGATTTGGAAAAAAATCTCACTTCTCAGTCTCTTCAATCAACTCCGGTCGTTTTCTAATCTGCTCCAGAAGATATGGCGGAGCGCCCTTCACCTTCTTATAAATATAAATGGTTCCGATGGGACGACGATTGCGTAGCCAATGAACTATCCATCGTTCGAAATCGAAAAACTCAATGTTCATCTTTGGTAGATTAACTCTCGAGTTTCTTAGCTTGTGATGTTGGGTTGGGCAGTGAAAAGGATTGGCGATTTTCAGTAATTCAGAAGTTGTTATAATTGAATGATTGAAATTTCCAGCGTAATCATCTTTCACGGTGAATTCAAAGGTTTTGAGTGGGAAGCTTGATTTATGGACCACTGAGTTGATCACATCCATGTTGACCTTATCGATATGTTGCATGGATAAATTGCTAACGATTGGGAGGGAACCAGACTTGATCCAACGTAAAACGGATGTCTTCAATTCCAAAAGGTCCACTTTCCAAGCCACTTTTCGGTTTCCAAAAAGTCTCTCGAGGAGCTTCTTCATCCCTTCATAGATGGTAGGAATATTTGAGAATTGTTCGGTGGTCCCATTATAGGGCTTCTGTCGATCCTCTTTTAAGATTCGAGCTTGGCATCTGGAGGTAGAGAGTTCAAGGAACGAATCAGTGACGATTTTCCGATTATTTCTTTTATATTCATATTGCAAAAGCTTCGATTTCAGAAATTCCATTGTCCGAAGGAATTCCTTTTTCTCCCATTCGCATTCGATTTGATCCACTTCTTCTATCGGAGCAGTCTCCACCATCTCTTTTACCCACTTCTCATCCTCTACGAATGGTTTTGGTTTAATGGTACCATAAATTTTCAAATCGCCATCTAGTAAAATATCGTAAGGGGATATGGGAAACCCATACTGATCGACGTCGTGTTCCAGCTCGTGTTCTTTTTTGATCAATAATGGAACTTCCTCATCGTACTCCTTCAGTTGCTTCAATTTGTACGAAATGCTATCTACAGTAATCATGCTTTGTCCTAAAACCAGTCTTTTGATTATCAATGGTGTTGACTTTTCAGCAGCACGAATTGGAGGAAGGCGACTGGCGAGTTGGAGTCTGGAAACAGTTCTCATTAGACTAAACTTTACAATTGCAATTTTTACATTTTTAGTTTGACCAATACTAAACAAAATGTTTCCTTCAATTTGTAACAAAAATTAGGTTTCCAGCTCAATTTCGATGCGAGTTATAGCCTTATTTGCTTAGAGGGCGCTGTCGGCTAGAGGTGATGAGCGGCGCGCGCAACAGCCGTGCGCCACTCACCGTCGCGCGCGCCGTTTGTCATAACTTCCTTAAAGCTCACTATTTTCCAACCAACTAAGAAGGATGTGATAGATGAATCTAAGAGCTACAAAATCATAGAACTTTAAAAATTAAATATTATCTATAAAAGAATTTACAGACCGCTATATGCAGGACACTGCGACCGCGTAGCTCAGCTGGTACCGGCTCTTTGAGCTCAGGTATCTTGGTTACTGTGAATGATATGAAAAAATTGTCAAATAAAGAAATGTTGGCGATATTATAACCAACATTTTATCAGTTGACAAATTTTTGATAACTTCTATAGGAAACGAGATAATTGAATTATTCGAAGAGACGCTTTCAAGTTTTTCGCAAAATTAAAAGACTCACCTGAAATTCGACTCCAAATACTCAATGACAACTTGCATATTGTCGAACAGCATTTCACTGTTCGCCATTGTTTTGAACCCTGAAAAACGTAATATTAGAAAAAGGAGAAAAATCAAAATATGAAGATTCGGAAGTTAAAAAGCGCTGAACAAAAAAAAGCATACGAAAATAAAGTTGATGTTATGAAAGTTATTTTTATGAACTGAACAATAAGCATTCTAAGCAAATTAGCTCGTAACATAAAATTGCAGAAAACAAGTTAAAATTACAAATTTACATATGTCGAAAGTATTGAAGGTCCTTTCAGTCAGGACCCAGGGACCCAGGGACCCAGGGACCCAGGGACCCAGGGACCCAGGGACCCAGGGACCCAGGGACCCAGGGACCCAGGGACCCATGGACCCAGGGACCCAGGGACCCAGGGACCCAGGGACCCATGGACCCAGGGACCCAGGGACCCAGGGACCCAGGGACCCAGGGACCCAGGGACCCAGGGACCCAGGGACCCAGGGACCCAGGGACCCAGGGACCCAGGGACCCAGGGACCCAGGGACCCAGGAACCCAGGGAACCAGGGACCCAGGGACCCAGGGACCCAGGGACCCCGGTTCACCTCCTATGGAGCCCAGGGAAGGTGAGAACTGATTCTTCCTTTCATTTCCCTTTTCTTTTATAGTACTTTCCCAGAGGTCAATGGTTTCTAAACCAATTCACGTAGTCGTTTTTGTCTAGAATTTAAAATTTCTTTTAATAATTTTTTCATCACGTTTAAATAAATTTGAATTTTCACTTTCAAAATCTGTGGAATATCTTAATTAGATCGTTCCTTTGAACCTAATTATCTCGTTTCCTGTTTGAGATATTAAAAACTTGTCAACTGATGAAATGTTTCTGATATCAAGACAAACATTTTCGCCTTTCAATTTTTTAAAATATCTTTAACAGGAACGAAGATATGATTGTTGCAAAATTATGGTTGTCATTAGTAGTCGGTTTTCGCCAGATGAAAAGAAGAAAGAATAGCCTATTCTGAATAGAAGAAAGGTTTTGAGGAATTACGAAATTTGGAAACTGAATAAAAAACCAGAAGGTATGAGTCACTTTATCTCGTTTTCTTTGAAATATATCAAACAGTGGTCAGCTGACAAAATGTTTATCACGAATTCCCAAACATTATATCAGTTGACTTTTTTAATATCCTTTACATAAGTTGTGATAGATTTAGTCAAAGATTTTACAGAAAACAGGAAATTCGGAAACTAAATTTTGAAAAAAAAATGGATGACACAAGATTTCGAGAAGAAAAGGCATATTCAGAATTACTGAAACTTTGGATACTGAAAATTCGAAAAAAAAATTCAAAGTTTTGCTGGCTGGAATGCACCAATTTCACTTTCAACTTTAATTCAAATTATCTCGATTCCTGTACAATTTATCAAAAAGTAGCCAACTGATAAAATGTTTATCATAATGTCAGAAATATGTTATCAGTTGGCTACTTTTTGATATCTTTTACAGTATACAAGATAAGATCAGTCAAAGTTAAATTTTGCTATTAACTACAGTTTTGAAGGAAAATTGAACATTCAAAAACTGGAAAATTTAAGAAGAAAATTCAAAAATCCGCAAGTATTAATTTTCCAGAAATTTCTAGATTTCAAAGTTCAGGAAACCAATAAAAATTCTAGATATTCACAGAAATAGTACAAACTTTGTAACACATAAAAACTGAAAATCAATTTTAAAATTTAAAAAATCAGAATTCCCAAAAAAGTTACTGTCAACTGAAATTCAGAAATTCAGAATCTCAGAAATTCGGAAATTCAGAAATTCAGAAATTCAGAAATTCAGAAATTCAGAAATTCAGAAATTCAGAAATTCAGAAATTCAGAAATTCAGAAATTCAGAAATTCAGAAATTCAGAAATTCAGAAATTCAGAAATTCAGAAATTCAGAAATTCAGAAATTCAGAAATTCAGAAATTCAGAAATTCAGAAATTCAGAAATTCAGAAATTCAGAAATTCAGAAATTCAGAAATTCAGAATCTCAGAAATTCGGGAATTCAGAAATTCGGAATTTCAGAAATTCAGAAATTCAGAAATTCAGAAGTTCAGAATCACAGAAATTCGGAAATTCAGAAATTCAGAAATACAGAATTTCAGAATTTCAGAAACTCAGAAATTCAGAAATTCAGAATCTCAGAAATTCGGAAATTCAGAATTTCAGAAATTCAGAATCTCAGAAATTCAGAAATTCAGAATCTCAGAAATTCGGAATTTCAGAATTTCAGGAATTCAGAAATTCAGAAATTCAGAATATTTGAAATTCAGAATCTCAGAAATTCGGAAATTCAGAAATTCAGGATATGGAAATTTGCAAAACAGTTATAGAGTTCAAAAATTTGAAAAATTCAAAGATATACAAAATTTTGGAATTTTTCTAAAAAAACAAAAATTTGTGTAAGATTCAGAAGTTTATGAATTCGAATACTTGAAATTTTAGGAAATCACAGTCATGAAAAACGTTGATTTCGGAAACCAAAGAAAAATGAAGAACAAAGAAAACAAGCAACTTACAGTACCATATAAAACAAAGGACATTATCACATTTTTCAGTGAAAAATAGGTAACTTTGGAGTCTTAAAAAACGTAGTCCGGAATCTTTCATGTTGTTTAAAATTTTCAGATTATACTAACCAAAAGTAGAGCTTCATTTTTGTAATTGACACCTTGTTTGTAGTTCTTTTCGTTTTCCAGATATGCGCCTTTAAAACTACCGTATCCTTACAAAAGCTTCACCTTCATTAAAGGCGCATATCTCGAAAACGAAAATAACTACAAATATGGTGCCAACTACAAAAATGAAGATCTATTTTTGATCAGTATGATCTGTCATTTTCAGATAATTTCAACAATTTCGGAGGACTAATGTAGAACTACAAAGATGACTAATTTTCATAGAAAAATAATTGCAAATGTGATATTTTCTCTATGGTACTGTAGTTCAGAAATTCGGAAAATGAGAGAGAGAGAGAGAGAGAGAGAGAGAGAGAGAGAGAGAGAGAGAGAGAACATGAGCCCAAGAAAAAGAAAAACAAGTACAGGTATGCAAATGTGTCCTATTGATAGGGGGCGAGAAGACATCACAAGTTTATGTATAGGCTGATGGGGGAAAGTAATTGGAGAGAGCAGAAAGAGAGTGTGATCCACGTGAGAGACGCAGAGAGAAAGACATTTGACCTATTGTCTATTCAATAAAACGTGACAATTGAAGAAAAATAGTCAGAGGAGTAGGGCTGAACAATAATTAAGTTTATAGGGCGACGAGGGGAGGAGGAGTATTTGACATGTGCATTAAGGTTAGGAAAGTAGGCGGAGCCATTTAACAATTTATAGAGAAGAATTAGTTGAGCTTTTAGCCTACGATGTCGAAT